TAACGTATTAAGCATTCCATTGCGTGATATACTTATTGTGTTTGAACGATAGCATCGTTACGAAAAGGCTCCGCTGCCTTATACTTAGTGATTTATAGTGATTACGAATGGAAAGACGAATGAACAACTAGCATACACTGTTAAAAATCTTTCGGGAAACCCGGAGTGAAATGCGGAGTGACCTGAGATGCGCAGTGAAAATCACTCCGTCGAGGAGTTCGGAACTCTCCATGAAAGTGAATTGCCGCGATAGCGAGACAATGTCGCTGCAGCGAATCAGCTGTTAACTCCCCACTTTTACCTGGAGTGATTTTCACCCCGAGCAGAGAGTGCGCCATTGCCCGCACTACTGCACAAACGCGACCCATGAGAATAAGAGGCGTGATTTCAGCCTTATCAACCATCCGACCCTCGAGGCTCAGTGGCAGAGCACTGGACTATCACCAACGCGGCTCGGGTCCAAATCCACACGGGAGCGCTCGGAATTTTACGCTACAAATCGTCGCAGGATCTAAGGTAAATGGTTAATGTTGTCATTACTAAGGTAATCCGAATTTCAATTGTGATAAACTTGTAGAAACCCGTAACTAATGTTCATGGCAAGAACTTCCATGTCTATTTGACAGCGTGCGCTGAGTATGTCGTAGAAAGTAGTTCAGTCATTAATTGACAGATAGCGCTATCGGCGTGATTTCGTGAAATTTTAAACCCTGCGCGGTAGCGTCGCGTGAATTCTTGTAGCAGCATATTGCCCCTTCCTCGAGCCTCCCCTCACCTCTCCTGAAATCACTCCTTTGTGTGATGATTAGCACCCTGTGGTCGGGGTGCATTACACGCCGAGTTCAGGAGTGTTGTTCCCTCCGCGCCGTCGGTCACTCGTTCGTATTTTCACTCGATTTTTCCATGGGCAAAATAGAGGCGAAGTAAGAGTGATTCTCACCCCGGAATCTTCTAAAATTTCTAACAGTGTAGCCACATGGCAACACTGTCGAGTTTGGAGAAGCGTACATCCGGACGGAACCTAGAAATTTTTCGGACACGTTTTATCTGTGTACAGATGTATAATTCTCTTCCTAATGATTTTAAGGATCTACCTCGTGAAGGTAACTTAGTAGCAATTTTCTATCAATTGAAAACGTTCTGTTTAGTAGGAAATGCATAAGATTCAAAAGAGTTCTTATAGGTGATTGTTCTTCTTAATCTTTTAACACAGCCTGCTTTTTGACATGCATCATAGCCGTCATTTGGCGGCATCTATGTATGCACTGTTGAATAAATAAATCTCAAGATTATGGTGAATATTTATTTAATTGCTTCCTGAACACTTGAACATTCGATAGATATAGAACGCCTTTACTATTGTAGTGCTATCTTCTATCCAAAGATTTGTTTCTATAGTCTAACTTGTTTGATTTTTTTATGAGTATGATACGAATTTGTGATGTTTGAAATTCTTTGATAACTATTGGAGGGACACTAACTTCTTCCATTGTGCTCAGTGGAATTTGCACAACGATATGAAAAAAAAACTAAAGTTTAAGTTTATATGGGAACTGGGTCAAATAATTACACAAGCCTTGCATATTTCTGAAAAAAAAAACTCGCTTGAATTTACAAAAATGATCAGCGTTTATACTCAAATTTTGTATTTTTTTTCTCTTGAGTTTAGGAATAAATCGACAACTTCCGAGTTTATTCAAACTCAATGACTATTTCTAAAAACACAATACTAGGAATAAACTTCGGTGTTTTTGTGTGTTTATTCACAGGGTTGGGTTTTTTTTTCTGGAGCACGAGTAAAAATTGTGGAAAAAATTGTTTAAAAAACATTTACAATGATGTGTATGAATATCAAAGTATGGACTATTTTAACACAAATCTGTTCAAGTATATACTCGGGGATGTGTGCGAGTTTTTACGCTGACACAAGGCTTGTGAAATCATTTGACCCAGTTCCCGTATAAACTTAAGCTTGTGTATTTTTTTTTTAACTGTGCACGAATTTTTCTTTGTCAGGAAGCTCTCTCCGCAAGAAATCGGTCACCTCCCGCCCGCCGAGAGAGCCGCGGCGTGCTGCCAGCGCGAAACGCGCACAGACGCCTACAAACCTGAAGGGCTACTACACGCATTGCGCAATGCTTGAAGTTACCCTTAGGTTTGTAGGCGTCAGTACGCGTTTCGAGCTGGCAGCACGCCCCGCCGCAGCGTGCCATAAACTTGCCCACAATTTCTAGGTCAGGTTGATAAAATGTCGGCTATGACACTAAGTTTTCCTTCATTGGACTTCCTTCAGATAGGTACATTTGTTGTGATTGAATTGTCTATTTTCTGTCTTGGCTAATTTATTTACATTTCTTCCCCTTCGTTTATCATTATTTGGCATTTCCTCGGCAATAAAATTATCTTCTTCACTATAAACAGATTTTTATTCCGTGTTCAACATAATGTGATGGTTTAATTTCCTGCTTTTCACGTTTTTAGAAACCCACCTTTATTTTAAACTTCCGAGCCAATCCGGCATATGATAGTTTAAGCCCCTAGCAGATCAGCCCAGACCGAAACTGAACCCCTGCGTGGGTGTGGCTGAAATGGGATGATGTGCATTTGGGGCTTAAATTGTCATATTTGCGCCAAATTCGCCACTTTTAACCTCACGGTTAGACCCCCCCCCCCCCAAAAAAAAAAAAAAAATTCTTAGAAACATTATTTTTTCTAGACCTAATTGGACCGCGTTTACCAGAAAGTAACCAAGCCACATGGCCTGTTGCCACATTCAACTGAGGTATTTAATTTTCTACAAGAAAACGTTTGTGCGAATTTTTTTGAAAATTTTAGGGGATCTGCCTTGTAACATACAGAAAATTCACTGAACTTTTCTAACCAATCCACTTCACCGTTTTCATGTACCTAATAAATTCCGTCACATTCGTACGGCGCAAGGATACAACTATTTGAACTCTCCGGAATGCGTGAGGTATCACGCCGCATTTGAAGGCGTTTTCAAAACAGCCAAGTTTTGATATCAGGTTTGTAGTTTCGCAAGAAATTGGAGCACAAAATCAATAGAATGACTGATTTTACGAGCTAATGCAACTCAATAATTTTTTGTTTTATTTGGCGGAAGCGTTAGAAAACAGTTCGGTCAGAAATTTAAATCAACCTACGGTCCATTATATAGTTCATATTCTTTTTTTTTATCTTTACTCCCATTAAACTATGAGTTCAAGACGAAAATTACCTTCGTAAATTTAATTTTTTGCATGATCTCAGTACTTGTTCTGCGAAGAACGTAAGTTGCAAAATCCTAGCAACATTGAGGGGCTTGGAGGACAAGGCCCATAGTGCAGTTTTTGAAAAAAATTGAGATACTAATGATTTCAAGTAAAACTAGTCTGAAAGCATATTCTGTGAAAAATTCGCTCTCAAATTCCAATTCTTGAGCATTAAAAAGTCAGTTTGAACTTTCTTTCCGCCATAAGCATTCACGTGATTTTGAAACTTCAAACACGTATTTCTCGAAATAGCAAAAACTGCACTTATGCGCCGTGTCCTCCGAGCCCCTCCATCGATATGCCTTTGGTTCCTTTTTGCAAAATGCAATAGGCCACGTCCAATGCAGTTCAGCTGATTTTGGCTAAACCCATCCACTTTTGCTTCAAGTGACGATGTGAATGAGGCACGAAAATGAATACTGCCGTGCTACGGAAGAAGTGAAGAACGCCGTAACAACATTCGAGAGTTGCCAAATTTCCTTCAATAAAATGTATATTTTTGCAGGAAGATTATTATTATTATTAAAGTCGCTTTACAACGCACTCTGGCGTTCTACGACACCCAAACGCCACATATGCCTGTCTTCCCAGAGGTTCTCGGGCAACTGACACCGCAACATCTCTTCGTCAACGCCCTGCCGCCAACCCTTTACGGGACGTCCCCGTCGCCTCTTCCCAGGTGGTACCCAATCCAAAACTTGTTTGGGCAACCTCTCCTCCGACATTCTTTGCACATGTCCATACCAGCATAACTGCCTGGACAGGAAGATACACTGCAGGAAGATACACTGGTAAAAAAACCTCTTGGACCAATGCCGCGGTGCATTGACTTAAGAGTGCAGTTTCTTGTCGCCGGATTTAAGAGTCTTACTCTTGTTTCAAGCGGATTTTGCATTGAAACAAGAGTCCAGACTCTTAAATCCGGCGACAAGAAACTGCACTCTTGAACCAAGAGGTTTTTTTTACCAGTGCATGAGTATTTTTCATTGAAATTTTCAGGGACTTTATGCGAAATTGCGAACAAAATTATCTGAAAAATTGGAAGGGAAATATTCGTAAGTTAACCAGGAAATTCGCGTTTTATGAAAGTAAATTTGGCAACGCCTGAAGGTTCATACGGCGTTTTTTCTTAGCACGACAGAATAATACTGATGTCTAATGAGTAATCACCGGTGCTAATCACCCATCGATCAGATGCTCCTCACCACGCGTAGCCGAAAACATCCAAAATGGTCCGCTACGAGTCGATTATTGAATCGTTATCGAATATCGATCGATAGATCTCTACCTTAGCAATGATATGTATAGATCGAGGACATTCGATAGCGATGCCCACGCCACGGTAGAATCTTGCCCACGCCACGGTAGAATCTTGCCCGCGGCCCGTTATTTCGTCGCTCGGTTACGCAAGGGCGTATCTAGAGTTGAGCCCTGATCTCCGGATAGCTTCACGTGTTTCAGGGCTCACATGCAAATTGATTTACGCCCTTACATCAGGGGGGTTGCGGATTCTGAGTCGGATGAATAATGCCATGAGAAAATAGCGGAAAGATTGCTCTCGCCTAAAAATAAGTTGTGAAAGTTGCGTGTGCTTGGACTCATGACTGGCTTTCGTGAAATATGATCGGCCGGCTTCGAAAACATGGGGTTGGTTTGGGAGAAGGTTTCAAGGTGAGTTTTGCCTATATAAAGAATCTACACCCGCTTCACCGGCGACTGTTCTTCCGTCCTTGTTAATAACGGAGGTAAGTGTTTGCTCTTCATTTCTTCGTATTTTTTTTTTTTATTATTTTTATCAAGGTGATTCGATGGACGCCATTTATTGTGTCAGAACGGCATGCGATATATCGCATCAATTGGTTCCATTTTTTCAGCTACTCGTCATTTTTCTCAAATGTTGAGATCGCAATTCTGGTGTCAGGAGACTAAAGCACTCACTTACCAATTTTAACAAAGAAATTCAACGTAAAAAAGGCGTGGTCTTTTTAGAGAGAAAATATCGCATTCGATACTGATATCGAAACTGCACTCGAATGCGATATTTTCTCTCTAAAAGAACCACGCCTTTACTACGTTCAATTTCTTTGTTAAAATTGGTAAGTGAGTGCTTTAGTCTCCTGACAACATTGGAGAAAAATGACGAGTGGCTGAAAAAATGGAACCAATTGATATGATATATCGCATGCCGTTCTGACACAAAATATGGCGTCCATCGAATCACCTCAATGCAAAGTGTGGTCCAATTCGTTCGTGTTCATTCACATCAGAGAATATCGTACCTGAAAATATTCATAAAATACTATCTTCGAAAATACAGAATCTGATAAGGTTGGAAATATTATAAAGATATTGGCTAAATCGACGGCGTAAGTCCGCCATCACATGACCCGTTCGCGGTGTTTGAAAATCTCCGCCTCCGAATTATTTGTTTAAAGGAGAGCAAATTGACATCATTCCTTGAAGTTTTTGCAGAATTTTCTTCGCTCGGAGAAGAAAAATCACGGCAGTCTTAAATAATTGCCGTTGAATAGTTTTCCGTTTAAAAAATAAAGTATAGCAGGAAATCTGCAACGTCGCAAACCGAGGTATGTGGTTGCGGACTTACACCGTCGATATTTTGTATTTAAAATGATCCAGAAAAAGAAGTCCCTTGTTGCAAAATGTGGTCCAGTTCATTCGTGTACACTTACATCAGAGAATATAATATCTGAAAATATTCGTTAAATACTATCACCGAAAATATTATAAATGAAAAGGGTGAAAGTACTGTAATGATATTGGCTACATGCCCTATCATAGCTTGGCCAATTGGCCATGTCCAAAAAATGACATTTTAAAACTCGATGTCTCATTGCATCATACCAACTTTAACTTTTTCTTAAGCCAGTACACCAAAAAGATTAGAGTATCACATTTTAGATGAATTTTTTCTTTTGTTTCTGAAGGTAAAAATGTTCAAGTTCCTAGTTATCAGCTCGGTGTGTGTTGCCGCTGCCTTGGCGGCTGGTTCTTTCCCAGGTGGAAGATTCTTGGAACAGCCAAAACCCGAACTTTGCGCTCAAAGTAAGTCACTTGTCCTATAAAATTTGAAAAACATCGTAAACAATAGTGATCAATACAAGAGAGATTTGGAGGATTCTTACGTTAATCATTTCATTGAATCAAAGAATAATATGAAAAAGTTAGGACCAGAGATTTTAATTTCTATAATTATTTTCTAAAAATAAAGAAATTCAGCGATACAAAAATAGAATTTTAGGAGGAGAGGCATACTTTTGATCATGACTCAACTGCTATAATTTTAAAGTGAGCAGTATAATTGGGCACTCCCGGCTCTGACCTCTTAAATTACTTTGATATTTAAAAAAATTGAAAACTCCTGAGAGGGGAAAGATTTCATCTCTAGATAATCGCAACTACTCTTTTTGTGACGTCGCCAACCAGTGAAAATCCTCGTATGGTGGCAAACGAGTTTTTTCTCCATTTAATTGCATGCGAACAATCGATTCTAGGCAAATCGATATTTTAAATTGATTTAAATGGACGAATAATTTGTCAACTTGCGAGGATTGCCACATATGCATCAGGAACAGGAAAAATAGGAGTTCAGAGTTGGTGTTTTTCGGTCTTTTTTTTTGATGGTTTCGATTATCTGACATTTTTTTCATTCCACAACCCCAACCACCATATCGTGTCGAATAATCAAGAATTACCGTATTAGTGAAAAAACATGTGTTAATCTGCTGAATTTTTTACCCTCTCTATTGGTTAATTCTTTTTTACTTTTTTTCTTTTTTTGAATGGATTGAGCAAGGCAATAAGTTCATTAAATTGGACCCAAGATTATTGTAGAGGATGTTTGAGCTCTACACAGAAAAAAAGGAAATATTGATATAGCATTTATACTGTTAAAAAGATGTCCGACAAGTTTCAAATGCTGATTTTACAATACAAAAATGCTAACATAACATTTTTTGTACGTTTTGCAGTGGGCGTAGTTACGTTAGCATTTGTTAAAATGTTAAACCAGCATTTGAAACTTGTCGGACATCTTTTTAACAGTATAAATGCTAAATCAACATTTAATTTCTTTCTGTGTATCTTAGAAAAACTGGTTCTTGAGAAAAATGTCGATGTCAATCCTCGTGCGAGCATTTCATTCAACGTTCAAATCTTGCTGCGTTTATCTTTTTACTTGTGCGTTTAAGTCCCCAAGCTTATCTCTCTGTCAGAACTGATGCGTCTCCTGGATGGAACATTAGTAACCAAAAAAAAATTTGAATTCTCGTGGAATGAGGTCCCTCTTTCGGTGGAAGGTCTCATAGTGTTATGTGCGGAAATGAGCGAGTGAAAATGTTTCACCTTAGTCCATAACAACCACTCGTTTCAATCAATACACTGAAAAAAAATTCTCGGCGTTTTTACCAAAGTCTGTTGGTACCTTTATCATCTCACTTTTTTTTATCAATTATTGGTAATTTTACCAAGACAGATTGGTAAGCTTACCTAAAAACCGGTATTTTTTCTGTATTTTTCAGGTAAGAATACCACTTTCATTCGTAATCAATTCCCGGTAACTTTGCCATTTTATCTCGGTAATTCTACCACAGTCGATAAAAAATATTGGCATTTTTACCAAGGTCTATTAAAATTACTGAGAAAGTTCAGTAACTTTACCGAGATTTCTCGGTAAAATTACCAATTCCATAAATGGTAATTTTACCAAGAAAAAACTGGGATCAAATGGAACCCTGAATTCTTGGCAATTTTACCCTTTTCTTAGTAAATACACCGAGATTTTTTTTCAGTGTAGGATCGCTCCATTTTTCTGTCTTCTTATCAGTCTTTTGCTTTGTCCATCGATTTCAATGATCAACTAGCTGCAGGCCCATTTTATGTTCTTGTGGAATGTGGTCCCTTCTCCTATGTACGATCACAAAGCATTATGTGCGGAAATGAGAGAACGAGAAATTTTACCGAAATTTGATCTGTTTTCCAGGGAAAATCCACGAAACTTTCAAAGGCTTAGGCTACTACTTCTCTTGGAAAGAGCCAGCGACTCAGGGAGAGGAGCACGATTGGCTCGGCGGCAGAAACTGGTGCAGACAGAGATGCATGGACTTGGTCAGTCTCAGGGATCCAGCCAAGAACGAATACGTCAAGAACAAAATCGTCGAAGGTATTTTCAACACTACAAATTCCATATCCATTATTCACCAGGCGGGTTAAAACAGAAAAGCAATGGAGTTGTTGCATGTGTGAGGGATTTGCGATTTGACCGTTGTTTCTTATGTAAAAGTTCGCGAGGAACACGATGGTGCCACTAGTTTTCTCTGAAATCATCTCCTAAGATCAAAAAAAGCTTTCAAAGTGAGGCCAAAATGGAGGGGATATCCCGCCCTACCCTGAGAGTCCACCTCTACATCAAAACAAACTCTCCATGCAAAGATAGGGAACAAATACATTGACAGGGCTGCCACTTCATTTGGGGACTCCAAAACTGAAAACACGGCAACCCTGCTAATGTTTTTGCTCCCTATCTTTGCATGGAGAGTTTGTTTTGATGTAGAGGTAGACTCTCAGGGTAGGGTATGATATCCCCTCCATTTTGGCCTCAACTTCAGAGCTTTTTTTGAACTTGGGAGTTAATTTCAGAGAAAAACCAGTGGCACCATCGTGTTTCTCGCGTACTTTTACATAAGAAACAGCAGTCAGATCGCAAATCCCTCACACATGCAACATCTCCATTGCTGATTGCCTGCCCCTCAGGCTAATATCGAGGAATACAGGGAGAGAAAAAGAAAGAAATTAGAACGAAACCACCTGGTTAAGTCAATCAGCATGATATCATGCCAAGTCACCCTCGTAAAAGTGGGGCATTGCGACATCATTCTGATGTCATAAAGACATCCACTATGTGCTTCATAACAATGGCGTGGCGTGCTTTGCGATATATTGGTAGATCTGTCATTCAAACCTTTGGAAAAGGGTCGATAAACAGGGTGTTGGTAGTGAACACCTTAATAATCGATTCTTTACCATAGCTTCAAATGGAGAAATATCGATGATCGATCATTTACGCCACGCCACTGCAGCAGAGCGACGTCACTGTGAAGTCTGCATGTCTGCTGAACACTCTACCATCGCATTGACATCATATTGATGCCTGAATGGTCAGAGTGATGTTTGAAAGATGCCAGAGTGATGCCAGAGTGAGGTCAGAGTGAAGTCGGAGTGATATCAGAGTGACATTGGAGTGATATCAGAGTGACATTATAATGATTTGTTTCATGAAGCACTGCGATTTCTCAATGACGAGGTCATTTTGTTCCACTTTTACCAGGTCAGTGTGATATCATGATGGTCTAACACGATATCATTATGATAACATCCTGGTGCAGGGTGGCAAATACCGCTTCCTTTTCGTGTTTCGTAAAATGTAAAAATTGTGACTTTCTTTTATTTTGTGTGTTTGAGTGCGGGTTGCATACTCTAGCCCCTGAAAAATATGAAACATTTCACAGCCTAGTGAAATTGCACGAAATATTTCACTGAAATTTCTAATCTTTCATTTCTTTCTTACGTTTTATGCCACCCTGTCCTGGTGGAGAAAACCAGCATAATATGAGTATGATATCAGTATGATACTTTCATGATATCATACAAAGCGTATATTATAAACATAGTAAATTCAAACTTCCTGCCCCTGATTTTGGTACAGTCTGCTGTGAGTTTAGCGCAGCAAACAATGGAGAGACCAGGAAAATGCATTCCTCCGATTGCGACGTTCTCGTGTTATCCAAGTAGCGCAAAGCAACGAAAGTATTGAAATTAAATTGCAATTAGATTTTAATAAAATTTTAATTGTTTTACCATAAAATTGCAATATTTTTGCATCATTTAGTCGATTTATGCCGATTTTAAACAATCAACAAAATGAGCTTCGTGTGTCAGAAGGATAGGCAATATGCAACACAATGAAAAATTGCAACTAAAATCAATTTTGTTGCGATAAGTTTCAATAAATGGGCCCCTTCAAATAGGAGCTAGGCAACATACACAACACGCAGTGGAATTTCAATATTTTTACCGTGTAATTGATACTTATTTTTATCTGTGCTACTTTGGTCACTATTTTTTTCAGTGTATTTGACGTGAAATTTTGATTTGGCGGAATGCATTTCGGTTCTTTACTCCGCAATTTTCCTTGTAATGGAGATGTTGCAAGTGTAAGGAATTTGCGATTTGACTATTGATTCTTCTGTAAAAGTTCGCGAGAAACACGATGGTGCCACTTGTTTTCTCTGAAATCAACTCCCAAGCTCAAAAAAAGCTCTCAAGTCGAGGCCGAAATGGAGGGGATATCCCACGCTATCCTGAGAGTCCACCTCTACATCAAGACAAACTCTCCATGCAAAGATAGGGAGCAAATACATTAGCAGGGTTGCCGTGTTTTCAATTTCAGAGTCCCCAAATAAAGTGGGAGCCCTGTCAATGTATTTGCTCCCTATCTTTGCATGGAGAGTTCGTCTTGATGTAGAGGTGGACTCTCAGGATAGCGTGGGATATCCCCTCCATTTTGGCCTCAACTTGAGAGCTTTTTTTGAACTTGGGAGTTAATTGCAGAGAAAAACCAGTGGCACCATCGTGCTTCTTGCGAACTTTTACATAACAAACAGCAGTCAAATCGCAAATCCCTCACACATTCAATATCTCCATTACAAGAAAAATTGCGGAGTAAAGAACCGGAATGCATTCCGCCAAATCAAAATTTCATGTCAAATACACTGAAAAAAATAGTGACCATAGTAGCACAGATAACAATAAGTATCAATTACACGGTAAAAATATTGAAATTACACTGCGTGTTGTGTATGTTGCCTAGCTCCTATTTGAAGGGGCCCCATTTATTGAAGTTGAGTTTGTTTTGACGTAGAGGTGGACTCTCAGGGTAGGGCGGGATATCCCCTCCATTTTGGCCTCAACTTGAGAGCTTTTTTTTGAGCTTGGAAGTTGATTTCAGAGAAAACCAGTGGCACCATCGTGTTTCTCGCGAACTTTTATATAAGAATCAAGAGACAAATCGTGAATTCCCCACACATACAACATCTCCATCCATTTTCTGGTGACTGACTGTATGTTTGCTGTTTTTGCAGGGAAACAGAAATACATCTGGACCTCGGGTCGTGCCTGTGACTTTGAGGGTTGCGAGAGGGAGGATCTGCAGCCGGCGCGCGTCAACGGGTGGTTCTGGACGGCCAACTTCGAGCGGCTACCCCCCACTTCCGATAGGACCAACAACGACTGGAGCGAGGGTGGCGGGTCAGTAACTTTCCTTTCATTTTTCCTCGTCAATTTCTCTCTTTTTCAAGCTTTCCAATTCAACTAGAGTGTCTATATACACAATGTACTACTAGACAAGGGGTCAACTACCACAATTCAGAGTCAAAATTTTGACTCTAATTTTAATTTTTGGAATTTCTTGGGGGCAAGGGCCCATAATAGCTATGAATTTTTTTTATTTGATTCGGAGGAATGGCTTCAAACTTTGAGTCTTTTCTCACCAAAGTCCCCACCGAGTTTTTGTTCATCAGTCGAGGAGTTTTCTTCCGCTGAAAAATTTATTATAACCGCCTTCTGTAGTATTTTATGTAGAAACTTCTGAGCCCGTTTTCTCAAACCTTCATTTTTGCACTTATTGCTCTCTTCGCTATCACGGCAGAGCTGCACTGAAAAAAAAATCTCGGTGTATTTACTAAGAAAAGGGTATAACTACCAAGAATTCAGGGTTCTATTTGATCCCAGCTTTTTCTTGGTAAAATTACCATTTATTGAATTGGTAATTTTACCGAGAAATCTCGCTAAAATTATTGAACTTTCTCAGTAATTTTACTGGACCTGGTAAAAACGCCGAGAATTTTTTTTCAGTGTGTATTTTGATTGACTCTAAGTGACAAAATTAACGGAATGATTTTGGTTACAGTATCGGACTGCCCCAGCCGGACAACCGCGAGGTGATCCAACAGGGAGGACCCAACGACGAGAACTGTTTGGCCATCCTCAACAACTTCTACAACGACGGAGTCCACTGGCACGATGTCGCTTGCCACCATCTCAAACCGTGGGTCTGCGAGGACTCCGAACCTCTTCTTAAGTGGGTCAAGTACAACAACCCCCAACTGGCTCTCTGAATCACCCCCGAAGCCCGCTCCACTCGAAACATGTGTTTCATCCTGAATAGCTGCTGAAGGACCGATAAACACTGGTGGAAACAGAGACAAGAGACCCTCCACTGGCCTCTTAGCGACAGGTGGAAGCTTTTACTTTCGGGGTTTCAACAATTCCTTCGAGCAACAGTCATCACCCTATTTTCGGCTGTTGACTTACCTACATGGTCGATGATGAGCTTCGGATGACGTCATGAGCCAAACAACTTTCCCAAACGTCGGCCATTTTCGGCTTGTTTGCAAAACGAAACTGCCAACACGTTGTTGATCATCAACCATGTAGGTAAGTCAACAGTAGAATGCTGAAGTCCCGAAAGTAAAAGCTTCCACCACGGCCAAGATACTGATGGAGGGTCTCTTGTCTCTGGGTGGAAAGTATGTCCTATTTGGAACCAAAATATGGTGAAACTGCAGAAATACGTTTCTCGGTTTGCGGCGCACACTGTACCAAGTCATTAGGAGAGATCGGACAAAATCTGGAAACTTAGAAAGCTCATTTTTTTTCAAAAATATGAAACAAGAAAGTTTAAGAGTGGTTCCATTGGTTTTTTCGTGAAATTTCCTCTCAGAAACAATCCTTAAAAATGAATTTGTGACGCACTAAACTTCAAAATTTGAAATTTTAGCCAAAAATGTCATGGTCGACCTCCTCTATTGGCTCAACTCACTTTGCGGCGTAGCAAGCTTCCTGTCAAACTTTATTTTGCTCGTGGAAAACTACTGAGCCTCATTTTTTGAAAATTTCAGTGATTTTCCTTCTTTTTTTGAAGAATATTCTGTGAAAACTTTAAGCCCTTATATCTGTTTGGTCTCCTTTTAAAAAATAAAATAGAGGCGGAGATTTCATAATACTGTAACCGAGGTACGCATTTTTACATTTCCACTTTCGATACTGAGTATTCAAATTTTTTGTGAATAATAGATCGATAGTGAGAATCTCATTCGTGACGTCACGAAACCTTTGCTCCTGTTTGTTTTAATTTTAAAGATATGATAATGTGCAAGGATATATAGAGGAGGAATTTTAACCCTTACAGTGCTCGAAAAACATGTATCTCGCTTCGTGACGTTGCACATTTCTTGTCATGATTTAAATCTTCGCAGGAAAACTATAATACACTCACTTATTCTTTGGAATTTCACTAACTTGCCTTCGTTTTCCACAGAATATTCTGTTAAAATATCTGAAAATAACGCTCACAGAGAAAAGGAAATCGTAGCACTAACGATGATCATACGTGATTTCAGACTGAACCTATGTCTCTATTTTGAGTCGAAATGCTACTTTAGTTGTTAACGTAATTTGGACCGCGTTTAGCAGAAAGGATCCAAGCCACATCGGCAATTGCCAAATTTAATTGGGCATTTTAATGTTTTACATGAAAAAGGTTGTGCGTATTTGTATGCAGATTTAAGTGAATTTTCTGCATAGCAGTGCAAAGTGAATTCCTTAAAATTTTCAAAGAAATCCGCACCAACGTTCTCTTGTAAAGAATTGAATTGCTCCATTAAAGAGCTTGATGCAAAAACGGCTTTTTTCGCCCCCCTCTGGAAGTTCTTCAGACTTTGTCTATTGATTACTCATACTTGAGCGCTTCTTTTCCCAAATTTTCAGACCCCCAAAAAATTTTGGGGGAGAGCTAGGGGGGGAGTGGAAGTCAAAACCTGTGAACCTCGATATCTCTTGAACAAAGAAAGATATTGAGGTCCGGTTTGGACGAAAAATCGTCTAAAATTGCATACTTTAAGATTCTAAAGGTCGAAATCCCGATATCACATTTTTAAGTTAACATATGTGCTTTTTTCCAGTTTTTAGGTCAAGAAAATTTCTTTTAAACGAAAAATTTACAAAGATTTCAATTTTTTATTTGAACCAAAACCAGTTTTTTAAATTGTTCGTCTTTTTCCGCATCCAACGAGTGGTCGTATAAGCTGGGGAACCGAACGGTTCCGGAGTTATGATCGATTGAAGTTTCCGCTCAACGCGCGCCGACCGATTTGCACGCGCAAAAAAGTCGGATTTGACTGTTATTAGATCAGATTGAATGTTCAAACTGAGCAAAATGCTTTATTAGGGACTCTTGAGGGTCGCTGAGTTCAGAAATTACCGATACTTCCAAAAAATTCAAGTTTTTAAAATTGCAGCTTCGGACAGGACCACTGAGCGGCCGGTCGGCGCTCAGTGGGCCTCTAAAATAGCGCTGCGGAGCTGTAATTTTAAAAACGTGAATTTTTTGGAAGTATCGGTAATTTCTGAACTCAGCGACCCTCAAGAGTCCCTAATAAAGCATTTTGCTCAGTTTGAACATTCAATCTGATCTAATAACAGTCAAATCCGACTTTTTTGCGCGTGCAAATCGGTCGGCGCGCGTTGAGCGGAAACTTCAATCGATCATAACTCCGGAACCGTTCGGTTCCCCAGCTTACACGACCACTCGTTGGATGCGGAAAAAGACGAACAATTTAAAAAACTGGTTTTGGTTCAAATAAAAAATTGCAATCTTTGTAAATTTTTCGTTTAAAAGAAATTTTCTTGACCTAAAAACTGGAAAAAAGCACATATGTTAACTTAAAAATGTGATATCGGGATTTCGACCTTTAGAATCTTAAAGTATGCAATTTTAGACGATTTTTCGTCCAAACCGGACCTCAATATCTGTCTTTGTTCAAGAGATATCGAGATTCACAGGTTTTGACTTCCACCCCCCCCCCCTAGCTCTCCCCCAAAATTTTTTGGGGGTCTGAAAATTTGGGAAAAGAAGCGCTCAAGTATGAGTAATCAATAGACAAAGTCTGAAGAACTTCCAGAGGGGGGCGAAAAAAGCCGTTTTTGCATCAAGCTCTTTGACAAAGCTGACGTGGCTTGGTTCCTTTCTGCTGAATGCGATCCATTTCGAATTCGGCAACAATTCTGTACTGTTACCGGGACCAACATAATTGCTATCCCAGTTATAACATCGTAATTTAACGTAGAAATGTAGGTCCGGCCAGAAATCAAACACGATAATTTTAGAAGTCGCAATTCCTCCTATTTTTGAACGTTTCCTTTTAGAGGTTTCGCACAATGTTTTTTTTTTTTTTTTTTCATTAAAAGCGATTAATATTTGCTTCAAAAAGTAGGCGAGATACTTGCGACGCGCGACGAAGCGGACCGAGATACGCGTTTAACGATAAACTCCGTCATCCAGAGGCAGTCAAAACGCCTTCATATCTTCGAATATGCATCACGCTCGTTCACTGAACACGAATAGTTGCATTTAGGATTTTAGGCGCCATGGACAATGTCGACAGTCAATGTCGGAGATCACGCATCTTGAATACACCTATTCAGGACCTATGCCTGTCTCACTTTTTCTCTCAGAAATTAAATTTCATGTGTAATTGTCACAGAATAGTCTATGAAAGGAAATCAGCAAAAATATAAAGAAATAAAGCTTCCCTTAGTCCTGTAAAATAAAAATAAAAATTTAAAAAAAGTTACGAAATATCTGCATGAGGAAAACAAGATGCGTGTTTTTCGGCTTACACAAGAAAAGCGAGTAACTTGATAAAAGAGATTGTGAACTCCGTGTCATATTTTACTTTTTTATAAATAGAGAACTAACCAACATCATTCTTTGGAAACCTCATCGATGTTCCTCCACCGTAAGAATATTCTTTGATTTTTTTTTTCTTTTCAGGCAATGAGCTTGAGTCGTTTTAATTCCTTGTGGGAAAATGAAACATAGGTGAAAATGTTGAATCGCCGCAATTGAAAATCGATTTTTTTTTTACTATTTTTTCTTTTTTACACTTTTTTTTTACTTTCAATGTCGATAAGATTTCTGAAAATAATGTGGGCACTTTTCAAAAAAAAAAAAACTCCATCCCTGTGAAGGGAAAAACAACTTATACTGGAATTAGTATCGAGAGCACGTCAAGTTAAAAGTCTAGACTACGTGTTAATTTGTTTTTCAAGGTTTCAATAATTCTTATCCCGGAAAGAAGGTACATTTTGGCATGGGAGCAAATCCACCAGTTATATGTTCGCCGCTTTATTTTCTCACGATACCATCTACTAAAATGTTTCCAACGATGTATATCATTCTTGTTTGTAAATAGTTTTTGTGAATTTTGGCAAAGAAATTGGATTTTATTTGAAAGGACGCGATTTTTTCTTGATATTTTGAAGAATTTAGTTTCCTCTTTCAGTGCTTAAGATGCCTAAAAACTGCAGAAGAACTGTAACACTAAAGCCATAATTTATGAGTAAATATTTTGGAAATTACATTCAGCAAAAAAGACTAACTTTGTCTGTCGTACGCTCGATAATTTAACTGTGTTTCCGACTTTAAGCAATGTGACGGTCTGCAACGGCCAAGCATATCCTCGCGAGGATATGAATGACTATCCTCGCGGGGATATGCTTGGCCGTTGCAGAGTGCAGACCGTCACAGCAATGTCTTATTTTTCAAAATTTAGCCTCTTAAATGTTTTTCTATCGCATGGAATATATTATTCTCCTGCAGTTTAACGAACTATTTTTAAATTTTGGTTTTTGTGTTCAGATTGGGGTTAGTAATCATTTTTTCCATTTTATTCTTCTCTGTATTTATTCTTGAAAATAAATCCTTTTAAAGAAACCGAATTATCTTATTTAGTCTAATTTTTAATTATGTACTTCCTTTTTGAGAAATTTCGATAAGCGCTCTTGCGGATTAGATCACAGGTTGAGATTTGAAAAAAAAAAAGATACCTATCATATATTTTTTAGGATTTATTACTCGTTTGAGTAATGTTACCAGGTTATACTGGACTCCATGCTCACCCTTGATGTATACTTGCCTGCTCATCTCGTCCAAGATCTTGGACTCCATGCTCATCGCTAAACTTTCTCACGTCTTTGCTTGAGCATGGAGTCCAATAGCAAGTAGACCTATCTTAGTTTTAAAGTTCATCATGATTGAACATCTTATACTCCTCTTATCTAATCTAACTGAACTAACCTAACTTAACCTAACCAATGCGCAATTTTTTACGAAAACACATTTTTTCGTCTTTATTTAAAAAAATTTTCTTAATAAATTTGTGGACCATATACTCGTGTGTTGTCAGAGAATACCTGCCTCCCATAATTTTGGACGCTATGCTCACTTCAATTTTTCTAAAAATGTATCCCTCATTAAAGTGAGCACGGAGTCCAAGATCTTGGACGTGATGAGCAACCGAACATTAAAGATGATCATGGAATCCAATATCATGGACGCGATTCTACAGTAGGCACCCTTGAAGATAAATTTTTCTTTCAATTTGGAATCTGGTTTCTACAGTCTCTAAGTATTGAAAGCTTTTGTTGAAGGCATCTAGGACTGGCTTCAAACCTTCTCTCGGGGCTATTTTAAGCTATTGAGTAACATTAGATTCTAATTCTTTAAAGTTCCATAACTTATGATTTTCGGGAAATCCAAATGACGCAATATTTCAATGCCTGAAACATACCCAAATATTTGTACATACACTGAAAAGAAATTCTCGGCGTTTTTACCAAGGTCCGTTGGTACTTTTACCATCTCACTTTTTTTACCACTGATTGGTAATTTTACCAAGACAGACGGGTAAGCTTACCTAAAAACCGGTATTTTTACTGTTTTTTTCTGGTAAGAATACCACTTTTATTCGTAATCAATTCCCGGTAACTTTGCCATTTTATCTCGGTAATTCTACCACAGTCGATAAAAAATATTGGCGTTTTTAGCGAGGTCCAGTAAAATTACCGAGAAAGCAGATAATTTTACCGAGATTTCTCGGTAAAATTACCAATTCCATAAATGGTAATTTTACCAAGAAAAAACTGGGATCGAATGGAACCCTGAATTCTTGGTAATTTTACCCTTTTCTTGGTAAATACACCGAGATTTTTTTTTCAGTGTAGTAGCGAAATTAATAAAATACCATGAATTTTCCCGAAAAAAACCCGAGCCCTGAAGATTTATCATAAGATTTATCTTCAGTATTCCCAAGATCAATCCACACAGGTCATTACGCATCTTTTTGAGATCCACTCCCCCGCACTCAATGCTACGTCACAATGGGTGCTCCCATAAGAAATACATTGCAGGCACTCAATACTACGTCACTGCGCAGTAGAGTTCCAAAAC